CCACCCCACCCCCGTCCCATCCCTACCTAGCCATTCTTCTGTGCTCTCACCAGCTTTCTTGCTCCACCCCAGAAGTGGCTGCATTCTGGAGGTGGGAGACCCCTGAATGGATGTAGGGTCAATCAAACGTCCCTCATCATGTTGCTGTGTCCCAACCAAAGACTTTGCAGTGATAAAGGGCTGCACCCAGGTGGTTTTCAATCCACTTCAGGCTCTGTGTAAAGGCTCGGGGGATCAACTGGAGCAGATCTGCCCCTCTCACAGCAGCTCTGAGCCCGTGTCTTCACCTCTCTTACCCCGCCAGTGCTGACTGCATTTGCCTCTTTCTCTGCAGAGGCCAAGCTGGAAATGAGTAGCAGCAAGCTCCAAGCCATGACCCCGGAGCCCAGAAAGCTGCTGCCCTGGGACCACCGGCTGAGCCCCATGGTCTTCCAGAAGACGGAGAGCAAGATGCATCTCTTGAGGACCCCGACCGAGTCCCCCAGGCTGCAGACGGCTGCGCTGCCCCAGAGCCGGCGCCCCATCACCAGGGAGCTCCCGAAAGCCATCGCCGGCTTCCAGTTCTCACCCCGGCAAAGTGTTGACACCACAGGTCCCAGCAATGCAGCCTCCAGTCCTGTGGGTGCATCTCAGGGGCTCGCAGCCACAGAGGTCAAGACAGTGGCTCGTTCTTTCTCCCGAGAGTCGCCAGAGCTGCTGAACTCTCTGTGCTCTGCAATGCCGGAGCCTCTGGGACAACCCCCTTCGGGCCTGGAGGGAGACAGAGAAGCGGAGCTGGGTGCCCAAAAGGAAGCTGGTGAGATGGGCAAGGAGGACGAGGAGGCTATGAGGGAGGAAGGACGGGACGCCAGTGAAGAGCCTCCTGGGAAGCCGGTCCCCCGAGATCTGCTGTACCCCGACCTGCTGGTCACTGAGGCCTTGGAAGATGCTTTGAGGGAAGTCAAGCAGGATGCAAATGCCGCCGAGGGGTCCAGCCCTCTCTGCACCGATTGGGCTCCCCTGGAAGAGGTGCATGGACTAGCAGCTCCTCCAGCTGCAGAAGAGCTAGATGGAGAAATAATGTGTGAGCTTGAAGGTCTGACGGACCCTGGCCAGCCCTTAGAGGCCGTCAGTGGGACCTCAAGGGAGGTCGACGGCGACCTACAACCCCAGCCTGAAGACAGCATGGGAGAGCCTGGTACGCAAAAGGAGAGTGGACAGCTCTGGAGCCCATCCAGGGAGACAGAGGACTATAGTTCCCATGCAGAAGTGCAGGACAGCGAGGCAGAAATCTGCATGGCGCAGGCTTTCTCCATGCAAAGCCTCCCAGCTGCCCCCCAAGAACCGCCTCTGAGAGGGGACGAGGAGGAGGATTGGGAGCAGGGGGTGCAGAGCCCCATTCAGCAGGACAAAGAGGTCCCCTGGGAAATGCGGGGTCCTTCCCCCAGGCAGGATGAAGAACAGCCATCTGCCCAGACCCGGGAGGATGCCAGCTTCTGGGAGCAGGATGAGAGCAAAGAGGAAGAGAAGCCCCCATTGCAGAGCCCAGAGGAGCATGGGGAAGCAGAGGCCATTTGCAGGAGTGCAGAGCCATTAGGAAATGATGTGGTAGTTTTAACAGAGCCCACGAGGGAGAGCTGGGAAGTGGGAGCACATGGCCACAGCACCCAGGCAGGAAGCTCGGAGGAGTTTGACCGAGGGGAGGAAGACTTGGAGGTCATGAGCACAGAAGCCTTGCATCTGTCGGAGGACGAGGAGAGACGGGAGCACTGGAGCCCGTCCAGGGAGATTGAAGAATACAGTTTCCAGGCAGGAGCACAGGAAAGCGACTTTTTCCAAGCAGACATTCAAGCAACGCAGGCTTTCTCTATGCAGAGTTGCCCAGCTTTGCCTGCGGAGAACCTCGCAGAACAGCTCCAGACCCCAGAGGTGGAGGGAAAGCGACTCCAGAAGGCAGAGATGGTGTTGGAAGAAGAGGGGAAGGTGGAGATGGTGACAGAAGCCCAGGACTTTGGTATCTTGGGAAATGAGGTTTCATTCGGGGCTGAAGAAGCAGAGACCCCAGATGCAGCCAGAGAGGGAGGTGATGAGCACAAGGAAAAGCTGGAAGGGGAAGCATTGGGAAGTGAGATTCTCTGCATGGGACACGAAGGCCTAAGGCAGGAGGAAGGCAGCTTGGAGGAGACTGGGGACCTGCAAGAAGGCAGCTCTGGGCAAGACACAGGGCCAGGGGAGGAGGTTCTGAAGATACCCCAGAGACAGGAGTCCTGGGGCAGGGAGGGGGATGTGGAAGAGGATTACCACAGGTCCTCTCCCTTGGAGCGGGGAGAGGAGGTAGCAGAGGGATATTCTGAGGATGGGGAAGGAGCTGAAGTCTTGGCACGGGCAGGCCACACCATGACCAGCATGGGGGCAGCCGACAGCAGAGAGGAGCAGACCCAAGACAGTCCGGACTCAGAGGTGCAAGAAAGGAGAGAGGAAGAAGATGCCGACATAGGTCATGGGGCTGGCCAAGAGCCCCCAACACAAGACAGCAGAGCAGAGCAGGCTGGCCCCAGCACAGAGCTGATGGGCGAAACCCAGCATAGCCCAGAGAGACCAAGCGAGGACATTCAAAGCCCACCCACCCTGCCGCCTGTAGACTCCCCCCACCAGGAAATCCTTGAGGGGCCAGAAAAGGCTTGGGAAGGCTTGCAGCCCTCCCCTGAAACGCAGGGGAAGGTTGCAACCGAGGGAGAACATAACGAGTACGAAGAGCCAGACAACCTGGATGTGACCTCCAAGATGCACCCGCTGGGGCAAGGGGACTTCTCAGAGTCAGAGGACTCCCTGGCATCCCAGGAGGATTTGGACCTGAAAGCAGAAGGCGCAGATGAGGAGCTGGACAGAAGCACGAGGATCCGGCTGGAGGAGACGCTGCCGGACAGCACGCCTCTGCATGTCTATGAAGGGGAGATGCTGGCCCAGAGCATGTCCAGCCAGGAGCCTCCAGCAGCTGAAGGCATGGCAGACCCAGCCCCATCGTCCTTAGTTTCCCTCGAGGGTGCAGGGCAGGTGGAGACCGTGGCCGAGCCAACGGGCTCCCAAGACAGTGGGAGCAGTGAGGAGCACACAGCTGGGACGGGGCCTCTGGAGAGCACCGAAGAAGAAGGGTACTTCATGGTTTCGGCTGCCCCACATGAGACACCCAGCTGGGAGGAAGTCGAGGGCTCAGAGGACTTTGAGGAAATCCAAGCAGAAGCTGCAGGCGCCCTCGGAGTTGATCTGAGTTTGGGCACTGCACAGCCCGGGATGCAGGAGGATATGGGGCACTGTGGGGAGTCCACGGATGAACCCGCTGAGGGTTTGGGAGCAGACACAGCCCAGGCTGAAACCTCTAAGGATGAGGGCGACTGGGGGGTGCACGATGAGGAGCTAAGCACGGCCACAGTGCCAGAGGACCAGGCACCCCTTGAGGAGCCGACGGCGGGATCAGAGGGACTGGCTGCCAAGCTCGGTGCAGGGCAAGACGGTGAGGCAGGGGAGCTGCCCCAGGAAGACAGCAAACCCTGTCCCTCTGATATGGCCCCGGAGCCAGAGGAGAGCGGCGTTTCTCCAGAAAATGTGGTGCCGGATGGGGCTCAAACCCCCAAGGCCATCAGCCCTGGCACTGGGGATGCTCCCAAGGTCTCTCCACTGACCACTGTGGCTGACCTGGGAGAGATTGTGCTGGAAGGGCAAGCGCTGGCTAGCCAGACAGCAGTGGATGGGTCTCTTCCCTCCAAGGATGTGCAAGCACTGGACATCACCCTGGCCCCTCCAGATGGTCCTGAGGCCAGCAGCCAAGGGGACAACTCTGGGCAGTGCAAGGAAGATGCAGAGAAGAGCCAGGAGGTGCTGGTGCTCTCCCCGGACACTGCGGAAATGCTCCCAGCCAGTGTCATGAAGGACTCAGACATCCTAGAGCTCGTGGAGCAGGCGCTGGAGTTCAACCAAGAGCTGATGTTGGGCGCGAGACTCCCAGAGCTCCCCGATGACGCCAGACAGCCAGCTCTGGGCACAGGCGAGGCGTCAGAGCCAGCCTCGGAGGCCAGGAGTGATGGCAGTGACTCCTCATCTAGCACGAACGAGTTGAGGGCTGTGCATGAAGCCCTGGAGGACTCCTCGCCTGGCACCAAGGGACTCGTGACATCAGGTCTCATCTGGGCTGAGAACCACGCCACCGCAGACCTGAACGGGGTGCACCACAATGCCCGGCTGGCGGAGCTGGCTGAGTTCACGGAGGAGATCCTGAATGGCATCTCCGACCTGCAGGTGCCTGATGGACACAATGGGTGTGAGGAGATCGCCATCCCCCCTGCACTCCATGGGCAGGACACTGACACCTTCCCCGTCTACCAGAGCTCCCTGCCACGGAGCGACGAGGGGGCACACCAGGATGGGGACACCCCCCTGGAGAAAGCCCCCATGCCCCTGGACCCCGACAGCTGCAAATTGGCTGACATCCTGCAGTGCGGGAAGACCCTTGAGGCCCAGCCCATCTCTGTCCCGTCGGCCTTCGGAGATGAAATCCTGCACCTGAGCCCCGGGCAGCCTCTGCAGCACCAGCCCAAAGACACCCAGGGATCGTGGTCTTCAGAGGATGACTGAACAGGACAGGGAGCCCGGACTGCGCATGCACCCAAGCTGTGACAAGTGAAAACCATGTATTTATGGGGCTGGGGGGTTACATTTCCCCTCCTCCCCTCTCACCACTGGCCCCCTTGCCAACTTAAAACAGGCACCGGTCTATTGACAATCGGCAGCCTCCCCTAGAGCATTTACTGCCGTAACTCTGCCCATTGGGGGTTTATCATTATTATTATTATTATTATTATTATTGATTGTTTTTTAACACGTTTGTTTGGATTATCTTCCTTTTTTTTTTTTTTTTGAAGCACACGGGAACGTAGTGGCATA